GGAAAAACAGTTTCGTAATACGTATTCGCATGCAACGACGCAAATCCACACAATTCAGTAGACACTTTTTCTATCAAACGTTTTCTTTCCCTTCTCTTCAGGATAGTACAGGGAATGTTGGAAATTAGAAAAACACATAACTATATAGAGAGTGAAAGAAAGAAAAAGTCAACACTTCAACATAGGTGTTAAAAATGAAATCAACGGACGTTGGAGGTGTGGACCGGAACAACCAACCAAACAAGCCTAACGGAAGAGAACAACGGCAGGCGTCGAAGGTGACAGAGCTAAGTGATCGGACATCGTCCATCAAGCGTCATTTGTCGGGCAGTGCTAGTTCTCGTAAGTTGTATAGTGATGATATCTTTTCGATTTTGACTCGTGGAAGGTCTAAGTTACATCTTGCTGTGTTAGAAGCTCTGTATATTCGTAAACTAGATCCAGAACTATGTGTACAGAAGGAGAATGTGTTATCGTTGCAGTTGTTTGGTGTCACACCTCGTGAAAGTGTGACAAGTGTTCCCTGATGTGTTCAACGTGTTTGTCTACAACTTGCAGCTGTTTGTTTTTGAGTTTTTAACACTTTAATCATTTTTAACACCTATGTTGAAGTGTTGACTTTTTCTTTCTTTCACTCTCTATATAGTTATGTGTTTTTCTAATTTCCAACATTCCCTGTACTATCCTGAAGAGAAGGGAAAGAAAACGTTTGATAGAAAAAGTGTCTACTGAATTGTGTGGATTTGCGTCGTTGCATGCGAATACGTATTACGAAATAATAATAATAATAATTTGAAACTCGGGTATTGAGCCAATAATAAAAGGAGAAAGGGAAAAGGACATATGGAAACGAGTTAAGAGTAACTCTCCACCACTGTAACTAGATACTATATACAGTCAGAAAGTGCAACAACTAGGCACAAAACTGACAGAGTACTGAGACATTCGACGTCCTGACACCTAGCTTCAACACATCTCCGTAGCGCTAACCGACAGCCTTCCAACTTGGAAGGTTCGAGGTTATGGAAAGACCAAAGAGTTGTTGCACTTTCTGACTGTATATAGTATCTAGTTACAGTGGTGGAGAGTTACTCTTAACTCGTTTCCATATGTCCTTTTCCCTTTCTCCTTTTAATAATAATAATAATAATAATTTGAAACTCGGATGTTGAGCCATAAATAAATGTGGAAGAGAAAAGGACATATGGATACGAGTTAAGAGTAACTCTCCATCACTGTAACATGATACTATATACAGTCAGAAAGTGCAATAACTAGGCACAAAACTGACAGAGTACTGAAACATTCGACGTCCTGACACCTAGCTTTAACACATCTCCGTAGCGCTAACCGACAGCCTTCCAACTTGGAAGGTTCAAGGTTATGGAAAAGACCAAAGAGGGGAAGGCAAGCGCAACGAAAACGAGCAAAAGCCACAGTCCCAACGGAACAAAGAATGTCGATTGTTACTGGACGATGACGAGACCAGTACGATCGTGTCGGTTAGCGCTACGGAGATGTGTTAAAGCTAGGTGTCAGGACGTCGAATGTTTCAGTACTCTGTCAGTTTTGTGCCTAGTTATTGCACTTTCTGACTGTATATAGTATCATGTTACAGTGATGGAGAGTTACTCTTAACTCGTATCCATATGTCCTTTTCTCTTCCACAATAATAATAATAATAATAATAATAAATCTCCACCGTTTTTAATAAATCTCCACCGTTTTTTACATTGCATGAATAAAGTACACAAATGTCGGTTCAGCTAGTTTTATTGATTGCGGTTATCAAATTGTTGTCTCCTCGCCGTGTGTTTAAATAATAATAAAGTTCGTCATGTGCCAAGTGTTGCCGTGGAAGCACCGATCGAACTCAAGTAATGGTTGAAAACAGGCACACGACGACACACGTCACATGACGAATATTGTAAAAACATTTTTTGGATTGTCGGATCCGTGTAAACGGCCGAAAACGAAACAAACGTGACGGAAACGAGGCCAGCACACCGTTTCGACTGTTTACACACCAAATTTATCCGGCAGAACATTTCCGTTTTCAAATTCTTCCACCTTGGCCAGCGTTTTGGTTTTCTTCTGTTTTGGTGTACAAATTTACGTTTTGCTCCGCGTACCCTGTAAATGAACCATGGATCCGAAAGGATTTCGTTGCGTTTTCGCCCCCAGCGTTGTCGTGTAAACACAGCCTAAGCTCATCGATTGAAGGAACAAACTACAACCATGAGTATCATAGCTACCACCTACGGACATCACCGTGTGTGACACTCCGACTGGTCACTCAGCCTGGTGACACCAGTTCATCTTCAAGCACTGTGGCAGGTTCGATGTCGGAGAACCATCGTAACTTTCTAGTAACTCAGCTGCCACCTCGAACGAGGTGGCAGCTTTTTTATTTTTTTATTTTTATTTTTATTTTTATTTTTACAAACGGTACCTGAGATTAACCTGGTACACCCGTTTGACCCCTAGTAACCGGATCTGTCAACAGTTGTATAGACCACGTTTCGCCAGGGGGTTTCAGATTGCTATTTACTAACGGGGTTTATGCACTAACCGGACACGTTATAATGAGGGAAGACCTGTATGTAGAGTGTGATTATATTACGACTCCACTGGTTCACATAATCGCAATACGCTGGGAGTGGTTGCAAGAGGCCCACCGTCGATGGCTCCCGGTGCTTACCGGCGATATGTGAACCAACCCTTACAAATTACCCTAGCCGTCCACAGACCGTTACGTCCCGTACCGTCAGCGTTGCGTAGAATGTGAACTAGACTTTACCCATAACGTGTGGATTATGACGATATGTACCAAACTCTTCCTGTGATTGCAGATGAGAGGCTTTGTGACTCTCTGCGTTGTGGCAGCGCTGAGCGTTTTGTCTCAATCATTCGTGCCACCTGTTCAAGCGGATAGTTCAAGTGAGTCCATTTGTCATGAACTTTTTGGTACATTTTGCATAGCATTCCTATGCTGATTCCATTCCCTGCAGTTATCTAGCTACGTCCAGTTGCCATTACACACACCAGATATTTATTATCAGTTACAGCAACAGCACTGTTACTGCAACAACAACATCAACAACAACTATTCCTCACTATTTCTCCTCTCTCACACAATTATCTCTCATTGGCCACTGGCTACCATGAGAATAAAGAGAAATAAGTTGATATAATGGAAAGCAATCGGACAACCTCCAACAGTGGTCAAACCTAGTGACTAGGCCCTTGGGCAAGCTTATATCGAGTCATGATCTTGAGACTTTTTCTATTCAATCGTCATAGCGATACAGATTAAAATTACTTGAATCCATTTTACTCATAGCAGGAGGCAACGCGGTGTCATCGACATTATCGAAAAGCCACTTTAGATGGTGCAGGTTATCAAAGTAGCTGATCCTATCACCCGTCGCAGAATTCAAGTCGACTTTTTGTGCCTTTTGAAAGTTTTATCGGCCTGCCGAGGTGGGGCCAATCTCTGGAATTATATTATTCCCATAGCTATGCAAAAGACGTTACTTCAGTAACGTCTGGCGCAAGCCAGCGTCCACACAGCTTTAATTCCGTGTTTGTTTGTTTGTGCCATCGGCATGCCTGGCGCTATCCCGTACCTGTCCCGTACCGTACCGTACCATCAAGGACAGCTGGCCAAAAACAGCTGTCCACAATATTCAAATAGGGCTTTCAAATGCAAGATCATAACGTGAAG